GTTTTGCTGCACTTTTTCATTTCAACTTGGGAGCTTCTCTTAAGCTTTAACTTAGGAATACTTGTGTGGTAAATGTGAGGTAGTGTCTATTGCACAGTCCTTAGTAGGAGTTCCTTTATATATTACCATATTGCTAGCTTCAGGATTGCTCTTCAGAATACAATTTATAGGTAACAAAGCAAGGGATGCAAGGCATTTTCCTTTTTTGTTTCTTTTAATCCTTTGTGTCATCGCCTGGTGTTTGTTTTCAACTATGATTCTCTATTTCTTTTTACGCTGTCCAACACGGGTAGTTGCATTTTTTTGATCTGGAAAGCATTACAGATGTAATATAATGAAATCTGTTGCAGAGCAGTGGTGGAGTCAGGAATTTGGCGAAGGGTGTGCAAATTTTCTTGTTAGTAATGTTAAGAGCGTGCAAAATTAAATACATACTCATAGTAGCTTATATTTAACCTCTGTACACCACATAATTTTCAGCAAAGGGTGTGCACTGGACCACCCTTCACCTAAGGTGGCTCCACCCATGTTGCGGAGTCCAACGTGAGGCTCTTATGGGATGGGTGGTGTGCTCTGGACCACCCTTTGCCTAAGGTGGCTCCACGCGGAGTTCAGCATCGGTCTCTTATGGGATGGGTAGTCATTTGATATGGTCTTTGGCAATTTACCTCTTGAGCTAGCTTTTGGGGTTGAGATAGACCCAAGATCCATTGCTTTACATGGTATCTACGCAGGACCCATCCCAATTCTTGTTATCCGATGTTGGATCCCCATATTAAAAATTGCCCACACTCTAGATGTCCAACATTGGGTGTGGTGGTGGTGGGGTGTTGAAGAGTCCCACGGCGGGCTTTTATGGGAGGGGTGGTCTCCTTATATGGTTTGGACAATTCTCATCTCTTGAGCTAACATTTGGGGTTGCGTTAGGCCCAAGATCCATTTCTTTACAACATTCTTAATTGGGATATCACCCATGGCATGCCTTTCCGTTCCAAACTTTTTTGAGTTACACATGTTAATCTACTTGTTTGTATCTAGAAAGTGTTAAAGAGAAATGTTTGGTTGGGGGAGGGGAGGGGGGTTTAAAGAAGTTCATAGCATGAGTGTTATTTCCTTAATTGCAGTTATATTTGTGGTGTTTCTTTTCTTATTTGATACTTGTTATTTCATATGTTTGAATCCTGTGATTTGCATGTCATAATTAGCGCCTGAAATGAGTTTATATGGATAAATATGGTCAATGAAGATTTATTTAGCCGACCCCAACTTGTTTGGGACTGAGGTGAAGTTATATTTTTGGAAATTAAGAGTTGTAGTGCACAATTATTGCATAAAGGCATGCTTAACCAAAGCATTGTATTCCTTCGGACCAGAAATGCTTCATGTTGAGTTTCCTTTGTGCAAGCATAGAGAAAAAGTCCCTCTTTTGGGAAAGAACAATCTACTTGGGCTGGACTTCATTATTCAAGCTTCATCTCCTTGAATGCTCTCTAACAAGGTGGTGTTCCTTTTGCAGGCTCAAAATGATGAGTTTGCTTCTGTTTTCAATCTTGAAGACTATAAAGGTGTGTTTTTAATTCCCATAATCATTTTGCAATGTTTGCTGTAGAACAATGAAGCTTAGATATTCTTGATACACAAAGATCTTCTGTCCCAAGTAACTTAGGTGGGCTAAATTTTGATGGGCTGATCCTTTCATTCAATTTTTGCATATCAAAATGACTTCTTACTGCTCATTATGTGTCCTGTGGTATAATCAAAGTAAGTTAGGTCCCTTGATGTCATTTTAAAGGGATGCTGCAATTATCAATTTTAAAATTGACATGGTGAAGTGCTGTCCAGCCCTTACTATGATATGTTGGCCATTTATCATCTGCATTCTCTACTAGTTTATATCTTATCTGTCTACTTTGAATTTTCTTCTCGGGGTGGCTTATTGATATTTCTTCTAGTATGGCTGCTGATTTCAGATGTTCTAGTTACTGTTAATTTGCTAAGCTCATTCTTGTCGATGCCACAGCTTCCCGCGAGAGAATCTATAAGCAGATTGAAGTTGCCATTATGAAATATCAAGAAATCAAGGAAAATATCAATGAGGGATTGAAGTTCTATGTAACCCTTCAGGTATGAGAATTTTCAACTCTTTTGAAACGGCCCTTTCTATTGGAGTGGTTTGGGGAGGGGGTGGAGATAGGAATATTTGCTCACCCAGTGTACAACACAAGGAGGATTCCAACCATTCACTTGCAGTGGAACCTCTGAGCATATTCCACTTGTGATATAGGATCATTTGTGTCCTAGATAAGATATTTTGTTGGGAGAAGAGGAAGCTGGGGTGGGGATAAAGTGAGCTAGATTAGAGTCAGTGAACGCTTTCCTTTTGGTTCCATGGAATTATAATGCAATTGGCTTGTATTTCTGGGACCTATTTTATCCCGTTGAGAGGATTGAGATGTGACTATTCCGTGGGTTACATTTTGAACCCCTCCCCGATGGGGGAGGGTTGGGGTTGTGATAATTCCATCGGATACATTATTCCTCTCTCTCCATCTCCCCTGCCTTTGGCTTTACTGTGCGGTCCTTTACCAGCTCCACCAATAAAGAAATTATCAAGGCGAATTATTAGAAGAACAATCTGAGTTGTAATCTCTCATCTAATCCATGAATTACTCACGATAATAATTTATACAATCCCATCCCACTAATCTCACCAAGAATCTGTCATTACAATCACATTCTCGATTTTCACTCTAATTCAACTGTATGATAATCTACACTCATGTGCAAAGTCAAAGAACCCCTTTGGATCTTCTCATATAAGCCTAGTCAATGATGTCAAAGCCCCCGATACTCCTGCAAATCTGGCAACGATCTTCAATTGTCTAACCTCATTTGCTAATGGTTGTATCTGCTTAGGTTCTTTGGTATGAGGCTTGGTTTGAGCCTTGTCAGGGGTGGGAACTTGTAACTCAAAATTGCTTTTCTGCACTTCAAAGATTCATTTTAGTTGTGCGCAGTGGGACAGATCACTAGTCTTATTCCAGTTCTTCCTGAATATGTCGAGCTTCTTGGATCTATCTGCAAATTTCCAGGATATGAATTCATATAAATTTGTCTTTTGTTGCACAGGAGGCGATCACTAATGTGAAACAGCAATGTAGTGATTTTGTGATGACAAGAAACATGCAGTGCCGAGAAATGATGGAAGAGGTACAGAGGCAGATCTCAGGTCTCAGTTTCCAGGATAATAAAAGTTCAAGTGGGTATACTTATCCTTCAGTTGGGCATGCTCATCAGCCTCCAAGATCCAATCCCCAAATGCCGACCGAGACTGGACATATACCCAATCCTTCTCGACCACACCAGGCTCCTACATACCAGCCTCCTCCTCAGCAACCTACAATGTCGGGATATAGTCAAACTTCTCCTCCTTATAGTTCTCCACAACCGCCTGCACCTCCTCCTCAGCAACCAACAATGTCTGGCTATAGTCAAACCTCTCCTCCTTATAGTTCTCCACAACCGCCTGCACCTCCTCCGCAGCAACCAACAATGTCTGGCTATAGTCAAACCTCTCCTCCTTATAGTTCTCCACAACCGGCTGCACCTCCTCCTCAGCAACCAACAATGTCTGGCTAGAGTCAAACCTCTCCTCCTTATAGTTCTCCACAACCGCCATACCATTTTCCAGGTCAAGGTCAAGGTCAAGGTCAACCATATTCGCATCCACAGCCCTATCCTCAACATCAACAACAACCTCCACCTAGCCACGAGTACGGCCAACCTGCTTATCCTGGTTGGAGGGGTCCATACTATAATGCACCTCCACAGCAACCCGGAGCTATGCCTCAGCCTCCTTACACAGCCCCTTCTCCATATCCTCATCCTCCTCCCCATCAGAGTGGCTATTACAGGCAATGATAGTTTTCCAATAACTTTCTCCGTGTGTATCTCATGTTCATTTTTTATCGTTCTCAAGTCGATTGGATTGGACGTAACGAGACTTCTTTGTCTGTACCAGATCTTAGCATACATTGTTATACATTTGTAAGTAAGTTTGAATGAAGCACACATGTACAGGGTATCTCCTTGTAAAATTGATTACCTAAACTACAAGATCAATAATTTTGGAACTCTATAAGATCTGATATCTCTCGTGAATGATTAAAAAAAATGTGATCTTATTTTTTTGTGGGTATATTTGTTGGTATTTTGCATATACCAATAGTAATTTAATATGTCATCCGTTAAAAAATTGTCATATTTATGCCATTGTGGTTACAAAACCTGTTCATTTGTGTAGTTATTTTTTAATGGTGGTTTTGTAAAACAGCTTTGTCACGTGGCCTCTTGTTATAGGTCTGCTTACCAAATCGAACAGGGAAAAGACTCAAATATGTTATCGAATTTTGAAAAAAAATCCATCTATATCATTTTTGTTTGAGAAAGAGCTCATGCTCAAGTCAAATTTGACTTTTTCTCTTGTAATACGTAATACTTGCTAACCACCCTCTAAAAATGACATACTGTTCTTTTTGATACAAAATCAAATGAAGACATCTATATCTCATCAATAAGGTTGTCTACAAAATAAATTAAAGAAACAAACAAAGGGAAATTAAATATTTGAGTACTAGAAAACAAAAAATGTTAGTAGCTGTTGGCAGTAGACAAGTACTTACTTAGTTCATTTTATTTGACGTAGTTTGACTCAACGCAGAGTTTAAAAAATATGAAAAAACTTTGTAATACTACATAATTACCTCTAAAATAAATAAATAAATTTAATAGAAAAGTACACCTTTATGGACTTTCTTGCCAAATAAGTGAGATCTAATATTACTAAAAATATTAATTGTATCATTAAACGTTTGTCAAATAAGAAAATGTATCATTTTTTTATCAATTAAAAAGAAAAATGTGTCGTAACTTGGGACAGAGAAAATAATATCTTTATAACTAGTGGAGGTGTTCTTATCGGGCGGATCAAACGGATGACAATGACACATTATCCGTTCGATCCGCCCGATAAGCATTTATAAAGATTACCCCTATGCATGCATGCACTAAACTCGTACCATCTATTCTATATATATCTAATTATTATTCTCTCTTTTGTACCAAATATATATTAGCTACTTGTAGTTATGGAGAGAGTAAAAATATTTAAATTTATGTTTGTTGCCTATTTTTTGGTAATTAGTAGTAATATTAGTTGTGTTTTGGGATTTAATGTTCATTCAATTTTCATATTTGGAGATTCTATAATTGATGCTGGTAACAATCAATTCAAAAACAACTGCTCAGTACAAGCTAATTTTACACCTTATGGTTCCAATTTCTTTCACCATCCAACTGGTAGATTCACTAATGGTCGAACCGTCACCGACTTTATTTGTGAGTAAAAATATTGTATTAAGATCTGAATACCGTAAGAAATTAATTTTTTTATTACTTATATTTAGTTTGATGAAAAATTGCATGTAGGTGAATTTATTGGGATTCCTATGCAAAAGCCAGTCCTTGAATTAGTAAATGGAAATTGGAAAAATTATCCATCAAATGGCATCAACTTTGCTAGTGGTGGTAGTGGTGTTCTACAAACAACTAATCAAGATTTGGTAAGAAAATATATTAACATTCTTTTATCTATCTACACAGTATAATTTCTAACGTATGATATTATTAATCGAATAATAAATTGCTATACTAATATTGTTTTTTTACATTTGAAAAATATATAGGGAGTGACACCAATTCAAGATCAACTTCAACAATTCAAAACTTTAGTCCAACAAAACAAAATAAACAAGAAACAAATTCAAGAATCACTCTTCATATTCACATCAGGCTCAAATGACATATTCACATATTTCAATCCATTTAATGTCCCAAAACTTACTCTAAATGCCTATGTTCAAGCCATGTTAACTCAAATGTCAAAGTTTGTTGATCAAATTTGTAAGTTAGGGGCTCGTCGAATCGCGTTGATTTCGTTAGGCCCCGTTGGTTGTATCCCAGCCAGGGCCCTCTTGCCTAGTGCACCAATTGATAAATGTTATGGAAAGATGAATAGAATGGTGAAGAATTATAATGTGGGATTAGAAAATTTGGTGAAGAGGATACCTATTAAGTATCCTAGTTCTTTTGCTGTGTATGGAGCTGTGTACAAAACTGTTCAGAATTTTAGAGCTAATCCTCAAAGTTATGGTAATTTCTTACACTTTTTATAGTTCCATTTACTTTATATACTATAGAAATAATGCTAGTTAATTTTCTAATGCATTTAATCACTTGTTTTTTTTAATAATCTTAATTTGCAAAAGTTTTATGTTATGGGGTTTGGTAGTGAGAGGGAATTTTAAGGAGAAACTACATGATTACCTAAACATTCGTATTATACTCCCTCCGTCCACTATTAATTGTCATACTTTCCATTTTTAGAGTCAAACTATAAAAACTTTGACTAGCATTTTATGATATATTTTTTCATCATATGGATATGTAAAAAATTGCAATGTATAGTACTTTTCATATAGTTTTTGATATCTAATTTTTTTGTTTAAAAAAATTGAATTAATGTAATCTAATTTAACTTTGAAAATAAGTCAAATTGACTTTTCGAAAAGCACAACATGACAAATAAAAGTGGACGGAGGGAGTATTTATTAATTTTCCTTCTAGTTTGAAATAATTACATTTTATATCACTACTTAATAATTTCATATAAGATTTTAAGTTAGATACATGGTTTTTGCTACAAGATACTGTGAAACATGAAAAGAGGCGAGCGAAATTTGTCTATGTATCCCATATACATAGGAGAGTGGCGAGCGAGATGAGAGGAAGGCAAGCGATATTTGTTTGTGTATCATATATACATGTGAATCCACTTGGATACAGTGTATCTAGAACAAATTACACCTAATTTTGACCCCATATATCCAGAGATTTGATACATGTATTTGGAGGAACCAAAATCTGATAAGATTTGTAATATTACAAACTAGCGTGTGTCTAACTAATTAGCTCCTAAACTAGTGAAATTTATACAAGTCTGTCTATTTACAAGTCTATAGAGATTTATAAACTAACTCATAATGATTTGTTATGATCACATTTATAGGATTTTCAGATGTAACTAATGCATGTTGTGGTGATGGAACTCTTGGAGGAGCATTGCAATGTGGTAAAGAAGGTTACAAGTTATGTGCAAAGCCCAATGAATACTTGTTTTGGGATTACTTTCATCCATCAGAGCATACTTATAATCTCATCTCAAAGACATTGTGGAATGGAACTTATTCTCAAATTCGACCTGTGAATCTCAAAACACTAGCCAACATGACCCTTATTAAGCACTAATTAAGAAAACTAATTTGTGTTTTGGAAATCTTTAAAATAAAAAGTGGGGTCCTTGTCTTTTTATTTTCAAAATTTATGTTATGGTGTTCATATGTATATTTTGTTATTATCATGTTGTTTTCGAGCCTACATCAAATAAGAAAAACAGCAGAGACAGATTCAAGATTTAAATTCTTGTTCAACAATAAGAAATTACTTGTCTTTTGAAATTTTACAATAGAGTGTGTAGTCCTTAAAATTTTATTTTGGTTTGATTCGGTTGGTTTTTTTTTAAAAAAAAATTATACTATATTAATTTTCTGATTATTCTATGATATGATGTATAATAGTACGTAATCAGATTTTTTGAATTCGTCTCAATTATCTTGATTTCTCTTTGATTTTGATCAAATTCAATTAATTTTCGAGTAACTACATGCGTAGGTAGATAAAGTGAGGCCTTATAACGTTATATACGCAAAAATATAAGGCAATATAAATCAAATTAGTGAAATAAACTTTTTTTCTCTTCTCTTAATGTCTTTTTTGTTCCAATTCATTTTGGTTTCTTTCAACAACAAAAAAAATAATTAAATTGAAAATAATTAACTTTTTTTCATTTAATTCTTAATGAGAATTTATTTTTTTATTACCACACAAATGTTATGACACGTTTAAAGCCATAAGTTTCAAAATTAAGTTTTTGTCATACAAATGTTGTACTGTACCTCAACGTAACATACATGAGTGTGGGGTTTAAGAATCAATTTTCTTTTTATAAACACACTTAAAAGTTATAAATAAAGTGAATTAAAGTTAATGATAAAGTACTAATAGACAAAAAATTCTAGTAGTTGGCAGTAGCTTTATAATAAATTGGTTATTTTCTTAGGTCATATAATGCACTAAACTCGTGTGTTCCGTTTCATATTTTTAGCTAATTTTTCTTATATAAATAAAACTCACACCATATGTTATTTTCCAAATTAAAAGTTATATAACACATTTAGTTATAATGGAAAGAGTTAAAAAAATTCAATTTATTTTTGTTGCTTCTTTTTTGGTAATTAATAGTATTATTAGTTGTGTTTTGGGATTTAATGTTCCTTCAATTTTCATATTTGGTGACTCTATATTTGATGCTGGTAACAATCATTATAACAAAAATTGCACAGCACAAGCTGATTTTCCACCTTATGGTTCCAATTTCTTTCATCATCCAACTGGTAGATTTACTAATGGAAGAACTGTTGCTGATTTCATTTGTAAGTTCTTGTTATAATTCCCTACACTTTTCGAATTTTATGAGTCGTGGATTCGATTCCCAAGAACAACATTCTGTATGAGGCAGGTGTTGGGACTTGGGAAAGGATTTGTTGGGTAATGTCAGTTTCCTGCCTATGACAAGGCAAGGCTCATGCGGGACTGGAGTGGTCCAGGTCGGAATCATGATCGAACATGACGCTTGATTCCTAAGAGAAATATTCTGCTTGAGGCAGGTGTTGGGACTAGGGAGGGAAATTGTTGGGTAATGTCAGTATCCTGCCTATGGCAAGGCAAGGCTCATGCGGGACTGGAGTGGTCCTGATCCAGGTTGGAGTCAAGATTGAACATGACGCTTTCTTGGTGGATTTAGTTAAAAAATAAAGTTGTGTTTTTACTATTAGTTATAGCTTTTGGAATGATGATAAACGTTTGATCCTTGATCACATTTCAACAATTTAATTTTAATATAAGATAATGTCATTTTAAATTATTACTTATAATTAGAAGGGGGTTTAATCGAATTCTTTTTGTTGAAAATTTATTTCGTGTAAATAAAGTAAAAATAATAGTCTTTTTTTTCTTTCTTTTGTGAAGGTATATATAAATTAGCATGAGGGAAGTGTTTATTGTAGCGTTAAAGGTGGTTCGAAAATTGCAATTTCATGTGACGGAATCTTATATTGTTTTTAATCTCTTTAGTAAAATTTCTAACTCTGTTACGTTTACGAATTGGTGGAATATTGCAGCTCAATTTATTGGGATTCCTTTGCAAAGGCCATTTTTGGAAGCACAACTTGAGTTAGTAAATGGAAGTAGAAAAGAGTATCCATCAAATGGCATTAACTTTGCTAGTGCTGGTAGTGGAGTTCTATCAACAACAAATCAGGATTTGGTAAGAAATTAATTAATTAAGGATGTATTTATCATATAGTTTTTGTTTTATCGTTTATTAATTTACTGTGATTAACCACTAGGTAATAATCCAAAATATATAGGCCTAAGACATAACCTTGTCTTTTTAATTTGACATCATCTGATATTTACGTTCTTCAATTTTGAATGTGCACAAATAGACATAGGTGTCGTACGTAATATAATATAAATCAATTCATCTCACGTGCGGACATATAGGATGCCATGTAAAAATATGTATGTCTACTTGTTAACAACATCATCTTGTCTACTTGTTCAGTAGCGATATCTTTTTCCTTCTTTTTTTTTAGCTTTTTCATAACACGTGATAATTTTTTAACAAAGAAGTGTCGATTGTCACCTATAAACAAGGGTGATAATAAACCTCAAGTGGGAAGCCTAATTAATAAAGTCCTATAGTAGATATCAAACCTTGAGTGAAAAAACAACAAAAAAGAAAAAAAAAGAATTTAAATAGCTTATTATCATAAATATCTCTTTTAAACCAAAATTTTATCAAAATTGAACTCAACTATCACAATTAATTGATTTTGACCTCATATGCAAATTAATTGAAAGTGGTCAAGTACTTCACTCAAAACAAATGCTAGTATACTTTCTTTACGCTAACGAAGTATATAACTTAAAACTTTTTTTGTATACATCAATCTTGACTTTATTTTCTTTATGTTTATCAAAAATATAATCTTTCTACACCAATAGATAGGGGTACGTATGAAATTACACTGAATATACTACTGTCGTTATAATTGTTGTTTGAACTAGTGATATTAATTCTTGACTTTTGATGCATATAGGGAGTGACACAAATTCAAGATCAAATTCAACAATTCAAAACCTTAGTCCAACAAAACCATATAACCAAGAAACAAATACAACAATCACTTTTTTTCTTTGAGTCAGGCTCCAATGACATTTTTAGCTACTTCTATCCATTTGATGCCCCAACACTTACACCAGATGCCTATGTTCAAGCCATGTTAGCTCAAGGTACAAATTTTGTTGATCAAATTTGCAAGCTAGGGGCACGTCGAATCGCGTTGTTTTCGTTAGGCCCCGTTGGTTGTGTCCCAGCTAGGACCCTCTTGCCTGGTGCACCAATTGATAAATGCTATGGAAAGATGAATAAAATGGTCAAAAATTATAATATGGGGTTAGAGAGTTTGGTAAAAATAATACCAACTAAGTATCCTGGTTCATTTGCTGTGTTTGGAGATGTGTACAAGATTGTTCAAATCTTCAAAGCTAATCCTAAACGTTATGGTAATTTCTTACATTTCTTCACTCCTCCTTCAAATACTACTATTTTATAAATATTACTCCCTCGATCTGTCTCATTTTATATGACACATTTTTCTATTTAATCTGTTTCAAAAAATAATGTTACCTTACTGTTACTATAATTAGAAAAAATTTACTCCGTCTGTTTCAGATCAGAATGACCTACTTTCCTTTTTATTTTGTTTCAAAAAGAACGACCTCTTTTTTTTGGCAATACTTTAATTTTAGCTTTCCACGTGACATTTTTAATGCCACAAGATTAAAGAACATTTTGGTACATTTGATATAACTTTACTTTAGAACCACAAGATTGAAAAATCTTTCTTATTTTTTTAAACTTCTTGTCAAGTCAAACTAGATCATTCTTTTTTAAACAGAGAGCAACTCCTTTTATCCTTAATGAAATGATTTACAACCACACAAATAAATATCTGATGAATGTTTTAGACCACAAGTTAATTTCAAGAGCTCCCTTTTTTTATTCTTCTTAAAAGCAACAATTTCATAGCTACTTGAAAACACACTTACTTTTTTTCATAAACATTCTGAAACACCGTGTCAAGTCAAACAGTGTCACATAAAATTGGACAGACCAGAGTATATTTTTTTATGTCCAAACATCCACTAAACTAACTCATGATGATTTGTTACATAGGATTTTCAGATGCGACTAATGCATGTTGTGGTGATGGAACACTTGGAGGATTATTGCAATGTGGTAAAGAAGGGTACAAGATATGTGCAAAGCCCAATGAATACTTGTTTTGGGATTACTTTCATCCATCAGAGCATACTTATAATCTCATCTCAAAGGCATTGTGGAATGGAATTCATACTCGAATTAGACCTATAAATCTCAAAACACTAGCAAATATGACCCTCACTCAACACTAATTAAGGAAATTATTAAGTTGTGTTTTGAAAAATCTTAAAATAGAGAGTGGGGTCTTTGTCTTTTTTTTTCTTTTTTTTTTAAAAATGTTATGGTCTTTATATGTATATTTCTTTATTTATTTCTCTATGTTAGTTGTTTTAAGCCTACATTATGTTGAAGAGCAGAGATGAAATCAAGATTTGACCCGTCAATAAATATACCTTATACGAAAGGTCATCTCATATCAATAAGAGTATCGTTACTTACACCTTATAATATGTAGTTTGTTTTCTTAATATTAAAACTTTTATGTGAATTCTGTTCGCATAGGTAATATTTTTTCCTTGAACAATAAGTTCCACATATGACCTATCACCATGAGCTTATATAGAGATTCACTATGTGTGATCCACATCATTCGAGTATTTATGATTAATTCGAACATTTATTATTATCAAAATGACAAAACCAATATTCAAACTATAGGTAAAGATGGTAGACCAGCCCATAAACGAACGCAGATACTAAGTACGGGCCCATACAATATAATCACTTCTTAGTTAATATATAGTATGATCATATTATTCGTTTTGAACCAAATTTGTAGAATATTTTTTCTTAAAAGGCCTAATATTATTAAGAAAGTACTACATTTTATATGTAGTTCACTACATCGAAAGTGATCTTTAGTGGCAATAAAATTAACAACAATAGCTTAATTATCACTAAATATGTGTGTTTAGTGGTAGTTAGTATTTTTTGTAAATGTCCCTAAAGCCTATAACGATATTGGATCCAATGATAATTAACTAATGCTGATAAAGATGTTAACACTTTTTATTAATAAGCAAATCTATTACTGTTAAAGGTTATTTTTGTTATAATGGATTTTTTACTTATCGATTTCTAATATGAGATTTTTGTTCGCACAACTAATTAAAACTTTTGTTTGGGGATAGTGCAATATACGAAGCTAGGTAAGTAATGAACTTTACTTTTTATGCCATGCATAAGATATATCGCTCAAATTACACAATTTGTTACAACTCCTATGTGGTCCATCAACCTTTTTAATGTTTTAAGTTACTAAATATCCAAAGTATTATGTGTCTTCTTAACAAATGTTTCAATACCGAGGATTTTGAACTCGAGATCTCCGATTATGGATGAATGTATTCTATCTATACCACCATATTCCTTGTTAGTTATTTTTAAATTGGAGAAACTACCTAATTACACAAACATTCCCATCATATTTACTAATTCTCCATATAGTTTGAAATAATTACATTTTATCTCACTAATTTATAATTTCATAGTAAATTTCGAGTCAGATACACTTAAATACATGTTTTTTCAACTAAATACACAACAATATAGGGAGAGATGTGAAGGTTAACAGGAGGGAGGCGAACGAGATTTGTCTATATATCATAGATACATGTGAATCACACTACATATACACCACATACATGTATCTAGTGTGATTCCCATGTATCTGGGATACCAGATACTCGAGCGAGATAGGAGAGTGGTGAGCGAGATGCGAGGGAGGCGAGCGAAATTTGTCTATGTATCTTAGATACATGCGAATCCACTTGGATACAATGTATCTAGAATAAATTACACCTAACTTTAACCCCAATATCTCAAGATCCATATATCTGAACGTATATGAACGCATCAAAATCTTGAGCTATGTGAATTGATTGGCTTTTAGTACTAGTTTGGCTAAGGATTATGTCCTAATCTTGTTGTTAAAGCGTCGATGTAATATTAATCAATTGGTTCTTCTTTATTTGAAGTGGTTATCTATCCTTGTTTCTTGTATTTATCTTATTATCTATGATTATTCTTTTTCTTTAAACAATTGAACTTAGTGTAATCTTCTTGTCTTTAAAGCAATTACAAATTAATCAGTTTGTTCTTTTTTTAGGCACTTACTACCCTTGTTTCTTGTTAATTATCTCTGATTTTTCTTTTCTTAAATTGAACTCATGAATAGAAAGTGGCCCATTGAAGGAAAACAATAGTTTTGCACATAACTCTAATCGCGTTTTCTTCTTTTATCATATTATTTGTTGATGATATTATTATTTTCATTGTTATTTTTATATGTTTTCTTCATTACATATTGTATTTCTTTTTTTACTAATTTGAATATACTTTACTTCAGATAAGGATTTATCGAAAATAATTTATTTATCTTCGTGGCTAGAAATAAGACTGCACACGGCTCCAAAACATACACTTTTGGGACACTGCCAATCAATAAAGAGAAACTTCTCAAATTATTAATTTAACATAAAAATATTTTCTAACAAGTTACATCTAAATTGTGTCAGAATAGTTTGAATGAAACAATTTTGAACAAGTAAGAACAATAAAAATATAAAATAATCGAATTGCTTTGAAGGAGCTCGTAGTCGGTATATTTTTATGAAAAATTCAAAAGTAATTGCACAAATTGTATACCACTTGTCAAGAAGTTAAGATGTGTTTGGTAAATGTTTCTTTGAAGTTAATTAAAGAATGGGATTTCTTACTTTATTTTTTCATGTTTGTTAAGTAAATCATAAATATAATCTCAAAAATATTTATATAATTATATGAACGAATACTATAAAGGTTAGGGTTGGGTTAAGGTAGTGAAAGTTGGAGGCTTGGAGCTATGAGGATAAGGGTGAGATGATCGAGTGTGTTGGAGGGTGGATAGGAGTAAGGTTGTTTTCATCGTGAATCAGTGAAAAATTTATGTTATTCAAATTTAAATGTGATTTATCAATTTAATTTTCACCGAACCAGCTTATTACAAATTGATGTTGATTAGCCTAAGGTGGAAAATACTCAAGTTGTTATGTATGCACTAGATAAGCACATTATCTTCCAAGTTGTTACTTTTACTTTCTATATAAGTTTAAAAAATAATAATAGGTACTTATAATCCTCACTCCTCAATACTGGAATAAAAAGTAAAAAATGATTGAAAATTTTATAGAATGTTAATTATCTCATAATGTATCTTGATTACTTAGAATTATTAGTGTCGTGTATTGTGCATGCACCATTTAAAAGATTAGATAACTATGAGTCAGTTAGGATTAGTAGGTTCATTTGAATTATAAAGTAGCTGATAAAATATTAAATGTTGAAATTGATTTTATAAATAAATAATTATATTTTTTGAAATACAAATATTGAAAATAATAATAAGTACGTAATTAATTTGTTTAGTATGAAAATAAAATATAGTATTATTATTTGCAAAATGATTATTGATGGTAAAACAGAAAACATATATTACTATTTTTTTATATATCAAAAGTAACAAGTATTTTTTTATTTAAAATATGTGAAAGAAAAATATAACAGATAATTTAAAACGAAAGAATGTATTTCAAATACCTTCAATCTAGAATTTTTAAGTATTGCTTTGATCATAAATTATGGTTGACATTTGTTGACTTGTCAACCAAATATTTCCTTAATTTGTCTAAAATGCATGTACCAAATTTAAATTAAATAGATCAACCCTTTTATTTATTGTAAGATAAAAATAAAAATGGCAGCCACATACTAACATATTAGTAGTATATTGACACTTGAAGTCAAGTCTTTCGACACTTCAACAACTTTCCTAAACGTGTGATTTCCTAATTATATTTTATCAATTCACACCTTAGTTACATCCATTTTAATTTATTTGTCCTTTTTTTTTTTAGTCAGATTAAAAAAAACATATTTTTCTTTCTACATACAGGTTTATAGACACAAGATCAACAAATATTTTAACACTTCAACATGTCTTTAGTTAAAGATTTGAAGATTTAATAATGTTTTTTAGTTCTATGAACTTCGTAACCAGCCAAAACTCGACAATTAGGGAGTATAAAATATTAGTGCAAATCGCCTTTGTTAAGGAACGTTTTACCCCCAATATGGATTTCCGGTACGAATCTGTATTTAGTCAGATTTCAATGTGAGTATAGAGTCATCTTTGTTAGGAAGCATTTTACCTCCCAAAGTGGACTTCTGGCACGATTTCATCAGCCTCTAATATAAGTACTGAACACTGTGAACTTCCGACACGATTTAATCAAACTCTAGTATAAGTATTAAACACCAAATGAAAAAATTAAAAAAATAAATTACCAAAATAAACATGACAAATATACATCAAGAACACTTCAACTAAATGGTTTTCTCCTAAAACCCACAAAGAAAAGGACATAATAAGTATTAGAAAAAGAATAAGGACAAGAACTTTCCACTACTTTTAAAATATTAAATTTCATCCACAATTTAGCGAACACAAATCCCACGGGATTTCTCGTATGCAGCCCCACACGCATTATACATCGACAAGATATTTATGTACTCCCACTAATTTTAGTTTGGCACGAATAAATTTAATTAGCGTATGATCATAAATTTTTAAATATTTTGAAAAATTAATTTTGGATGAAGTTTTTATTAAAGTTTCAGAAGGTGTTTGGTTTTAATTTCTTTTAAAATAATAACAATGATAGTAACTAAGTATTTTTCTAATATAATTTTTCATATATCACAAACAACCAAAAAGAATATAAAGGATATAAACCAAAAAGTATTTAATATGATAAATATTTTTTACTTATATAAAAATATAAGAATATAATTTAAAAAATTACTTATTTTCGATAAAAATTTCTTGTCCAATCAAACACACCCTAAAAAAAATCAATAAAACCATAAGTAAAATTTTTAAAAAAGTAATATCCACACAAAACCTTATACCTTATTACCTCGCAGCCATGCCAAACACACCCTAAAGCATATAAATTTCAAAATTTAAAACTTTGTTAAAAGATTTACACTTAACCCATTTCTTTTAGTATAAGTGACTTGTTCATAACCAAGTAATTGATTTGTTCTTACGGAGTCATTTGGTTGGAAGCAAATTACTTCAGATAATTATTCTGAAATAAATTATTCTATCTAATACCTCATTATAACATCATTATGTTAATAATTTAATAAC